GACACACACACCCTCCCCGAGCCACTCACCGTGAAGTCACTCCTGATGGCAAAGTTTTCGGGCTTGATGTCGCAGAGGTGGAGGCGGTGGGAGAAGTCATCGTCGAAATGGCTCACCATGTCCAGGAAGCTGAGCGCCATGTCGCTGATGGCCTTGGCCTGGCCCCGGCCGCCCCGGGGGGCGCCTGCGGCCCCGTCCAGGGGGAAGAGGGCCCTGTGGCGGGGGCTGCCCGCGGCCAGGTACTCCACCGCGTAGAAGTGGCCGCAGGAGCCCAGCACGGGCGGGGCGTGCCGGCTCAGGTCCTGCAGCAGGCTGAACAGGACGAACTCCTCCTGCTGGACCAGGGACCACAGGGTGGCCAGCTGGCCCAGCCAGCGACGGCCGTGCCTCCGGGGCCACAGCGGCCCCAGGCTGCCGTTGGGCAGCTCCAGGCCCAGGGCGTTCCTGACCTCACCGGCCACCACCAGCAGCAGCTCGGCCTCCGGGAAGTCCTGGCCGCCGTCCTCGGCCGTGTCGTCCGGCAGGCTGAGCGGCTGGAAGCTGGAGAAGGCCTCCTCCTTGGACTTGAGGATGACGGGCCGGCCACGCCAGTCGGCCTGCAGCACCTTCTTGCCTCTCTCGTAGTACAGACAGCGCTGGTAGCTCAGTGTCCCCGCCACACACAGGTCCTCGCAGAGGTCCCCCACCAGCACCCCGCCCCGGTACTCCTGGCACTGGAAGGAAGGGGACAGTCGGTCACGGGGCGGGCAGGGGGAGCAACGAGGTCCGGCCCTGCGCTCAGGGCGCTTCTAGTCTGCTGTTGAGAGAAACCTGTCAGGTGTGAACCACGTGGGCTATTTGGGTCCCTGAGTTAAGGAAGCGAGGGAGTTAAAGGAGCCGCTCGTATTTGTCATGTGATTCAACCAGGCCCAGGCCTCGAGAGTCAGGACAGCGGACGCCAGAAGCAGGCCTCCCCCATCCAGCCCCGTGATGCTGGGAAAAGCCTTTTGCCTGCTGGCTCTCGCTTCCCTGAACTGCGCCAGACTCTGGCCACACATCTGGGTTGCCCCGGGGAACTCTGACCTCCTCTGCCATCAGAGAATGGCAGTCAGAGCCCAGAAGGTGGGTCCCCAGCAAGCCTCATCTGGTACCCAGGGCCGGCCACAGGAAGGACCTCTCCTGCAGGCGTGTTCCCTCAGCCTGCTGTTTCTGACACCAAGGAGGGTGGCCTATAGGGCCAGCAGCTCTGGAAGGATTACAGGGGTGCAGAGGAGAACCCACCACAGGAAGCGGGAGTTAGAAGGGGCCTCGTGGATGATGGTGTCAGCACAACTGGAGAGGACAGGCACCGGGGACACAGGAGCTGCTTGGGATACATTCTAGAAGTGTCGGGTGTGTTTGGCTCCCGGCGGTGGTGAGGAAGGTCCAGGAGCCCTCAGATGGGCGTTTCTCCTAAACTCGAGCAGCTCTTAGGATGGGTTCCACACGAGGGGACCCGGTGACCCCACCACCACATTACAAACGTCCCTCAGAAGACGGTCCCGTGGGCCCTGGCCGGTGGTCCCGCTGGGACGAGGTAGAAGGGGGAGGAAAGAGCTGGTGCGGAACAGAGTAAAATGAAGGACCGTTTCTCGGTTCCCTTCTTTGTTTTATCTTTCAGGAAACCTACAGCCCTAGACACTTTATTAGGAGCTGAGCCTATGTTCTAACTCCACCTGCTCTCCCCCACCCCCTCCAGATGCATCCTCCCTCCACGTGGGCACACGCAGGCCTCACCTGCTGCTGCACCTTAAGCAAGGGGGCCCCCCAGTCCTCATCAGGTGATGAGACAAGGGCAGGACCACCACGTCATCTTCTTCACTCTGTCTCCTGCACGACCAGGTGCCCAGAGTGACAAGCTGGAGCTCAGCACGGTGCAGCTCAGCCACGCCCGGCTGTGCCACGGCATCCCTGGCGGCTGCCCCACCGCCCTGAGCCTCATCTCCCCTCCCTGCATCTCACCGGTCTGCCCCCCTTGGTCGGTTTTCGGGCAGGCTGTGAGAAAAGTGTGTGGAAACCATTCATTCATTCAAGTGCAAGACATCACGAGATGCCCTTGAACGGTGGCCGGGTACCTAATTCCAGGCCCTTCAGAGGCTGTGGTCGTCCACGCTCTCGGCTTTGTACTGTAAGTGGCTCAAAGTCAATGTACTTCCAATGCCTGGGTGTGTGAACAATTGCAAAATGCAAAAAACCCTGAAAAGACAACCTTTTCATGACTCTCTGAGCCTCATGTGGAATCAAAACCCAACTGAATAGTTTGTGAGGCTGTTAGTCTTCAGGTCTTTGACTTGGTGAGAATTTGCATAGATTGTGCTGCAGAATTATTAATTTGTTTGATTACTGGTTCTGCTTCATACCCAAAATATAAGGTATATGCCCCATATTATCCTTTCAATGCCCCCAAAAGTGTGAATTTGAAAACATATGCCTGGCCCCAAAGTGTGAGAAAAAGGATTGGGGACCTTCATAAATACTCTAGTTTAATTGTTCAAAGCATGCATTACCAAAATGGTTATTAAAAAGAAATATTCCGGGGTGCCTGGGTGGCTCAAGTCGTCTAAATGTCCAACTTTGGCTCAGGTCATGATCTCATGGTTTGTGAGTTCGAGCCACAATGCTGACAGCTCAGAGCCTGGAGCCTGCTTCGGATTCTGTGTCTTCCTCTCTCTGTGCCCCTCCCCTGCTTGCTCTCTCTCTCTCT